TGTGTCTTCCTCAGGGATACATTTTGGGTCTGTATCCTGGTCCCTTGTTTCTCCTGCTTTATCTTGCTTCTTTGTGTGGACTGTGATGCTCTGTTGTCTCCAAGGCATTGTGACATTTTTGTGTTTATATTTAATTGGTGATTGTATGTTGGAGTGACTTGCCCACGATTTTTGTTTTCTTTCTATGTTGTCTACCATGCTGTGCTCCTCTATTTGCTAGTGTGCAGCACTTACACACTCACTACCTGTCTCCTTTCCTGTTGTCAGCCTCCAGCATGTCCCTGCCAACCTTAGCAAACAGAGACTATTCTTAGGTCCCTGAAATCTGAATGAGGATGCTATCACTTTAAGATACAAAATGGTTGCTACTTGTAAAGATTCAAAATGGCTGCACCCTCAGTTACTTTAATATCCAAAATGACCACCACTTGTAAACATTCAAAACAGCCATGTCCTCGGTCACTTTAGATATCCAAAATGGCCACCACTTGTAAATGGCTGCACCCTCAGTCACTTTAAACATCCAAAATGGCTGCCATTTATAAACATTCAAAACGGCTGTGCCCTTGGTCACTTTAAATATCCAAAATGGTGCCACGTGTAAACAATCAAAATGGCTGCACCCTCCAGACAGCAGAGTTCAGGTTGTCTCCCTTCCTGTTGTTTCCCTTCCTAGGCCACCAGCACAGTCGTCCATGCAGCCTTTGGTGACCAGGGCTGATCTTTAGGTCAATTCTCAGGTCCCAACACCATTTGGAAATATTCAGGCTGTTGGTCCTGTCAGAGTACCTGACAGTCCACAGCTCCAATGGTTTCTGTACTCACTATTTTCGTTCAGGTTCTTCCACTAATTGGTGCCTAATCCACTTGTGTATCGTTCCTTTCAAAGCTCAGGGCTCCAGGAATATCTTCTGTATCTTTGTCAATTGGTTTTTCTTTTCTTTGTTGAAGAGGGTCTGTGTTGCTTCTCTGCCTATTCCTCCATCTTACCAGAAGTCAAATTTCCTCTTTTTTTTAAACAATGATCCTTACACTGGATTCACTCATCTTAATGATGGGCAACCACAGCTGTAGACCTCAATCTACGGTACATATCAACCAGTCAAATTTTTTGTGTAACGTCATGACTTTCCTCTGTTCTTTAGAGCACTTCTATCGTCACTACTGGCAGTTCATGTAGGTCCCAAGGTATTACTCAAGGTTTATAGTATTGCACTAAGCATGATGAAAAATACACAACCACTTCTAACTGTGATATGCAATTTACTGGAAATTGCTCCCACAGAGATGATTAGGGTCACATGGCATTTTAAGCAGATACTAACAACACCTGAGCTTACCACAAAAGTAACAGAAGGTGGCTACAAAATTATTATAGTAGTACAATGTGTACTATAGCTAATTTTATGCAGTTATGATTTAATACTGCATCTTCACATTTGCTTACATTTCTATCAAGCATAAACTGTGTCAAATATTGACTAAGTATGTAAATTTTGAAATTTTTAACTCTTTATAATAGTTGTGTACATTTTATGGTAATAAATGATAAAATTGACTAGTATATTTATATATATTTTATAAATTCATAACATACCTAACTCTTATTTCTAGGCAATGCAGTTCATTTGCAAGTTTTTCAAATTGTTGTAAATCTACAAAAACTTCTAATATATGTATTAAAAAAATTCACATACAAGGGGGTCAGTACAGTTCATATGTGTGTTGTTCAAGGGTCAACTTTACTTTAAAACACTAGTACTTTTATTTTCCTTGCCCAAGTTATAAATTACATAAAGATCCTTTCAAAAACAACTTCACAATAAAATCTTACTCAAGTTTCAATTAATATAATATTTAGCCATCTTCTTTGTACTAAAATCATGTTGCAAAAAATAATTGCTATTCCATCATCAAAAGTAAAACCAACATTCAATGACATTAGACAAAGTATATGTGAACTGCTGTATGAAAAGTGAATTTACTCTGTAAATCTTCACCCAAATCCTAATAAAAAAAAAAAAAAGTAAAACCAACATTCTCAGACTTATTTTGATCAAATAAAAACTAAGTTTAAAAATATAGTACATATTAAAGAAGAAATAATTCATCAATATTTGAACACAACTCTGAGGGTGGATATCAGATGAAGCAATAGACTTTAATTTTTTATTGTATTTCCAAAGGTTTCTACACTTAGTACCAATCTATTCCTATTCTCTTAAATATTAGGACAAGTTCAGTTCCTCAGATAATATTTTAGAAAAAAATCCAGATTAAAAGATCAAGATCACCAAGCCACATATCAAAAATACAGATACTGGAAACATTATTACTGGAAACATTATAAAACAATGAGGAAAGTTTTGTATCTCTTAGAATCATTTGGCAGAAAACTAAAAGCCTTGAGGTCACAAATGGTATTTTTCATTCAATATGCAAGATAATTTAACTTGAAAAAAGTCAAATACACTTTTTTTAAAAGCATAGTAAAATGTGTATAAAAATTCAGATCAGTTTGAAAGTGTACTTTACTGTATAGACAGATTTAGATATGGAAATATCATTAAAATCATCTTTGTTGTTGTTGTTGTTAGGTGCCATCAAGTTGGTTTTGATTCATAGTGACCCATATATAACAGAACAAAATACAGCTTGGTCTTGCACCATCCGCACAATCATTGTTATGTTTGAGCCCACTGTTGCAGTCACTGTGTCAATCCATCTCATTGAAAATCTTCCTCTTTTCAATGACCCTCTATTTTACTAAGTCCTTCTCCAGGGACTGTTCTCTACTGATAACATGTCAAAAGTAAATGAGACAAAGTCTTGCCATCCTCACTTCTAAGGAGCATTTTATCTGTACTTCTTCCAAGACAGATTTGTTCATTCTTCTGGCACTCTATGGTATATTCAACAACATAATTCAAAGGCATCAATTCTTCTTCAGTCTGTCTTACTCAATGCCCAGCATTTACTTGCATGTTGTTGTTGTTATGTGCCGTCGAGTCGGCCCCGACTCATAGCGACCCCTCCTTGGGTTTCCAAGGCAGTATCACTACGGAAGTAGGATTGTCCAACCTTCCTTCCGAGGAGTGGCATATGAGGCAATTAAAAATGCCATGGCTTAGGTCCAGCAACCTTAGTCCTCAAAGCAACAACTTTTCTCTTTAACCCTTTAAAGAGGTCTTCTGCAGCAGATTTGCCTGATACAATAATACACCATTTGATTTCTTGACTGCTGCTTCCATTGGCATTGATTGTGGATACAAGTAAAATGAAATACTTGACAACTTCAATCTTTTCTCCACTTATCATAATGTTGCTTACTGGTCCACTTGTGAGGACTTTTGTTTTCTTTATGTTGAAGTGTAATCCATACTCAAGGCTTTGATCTTCATTAGTAAGTGCTTAAAGTCCTCTTTTCTTTCAGCAAGTAAGGTGATGTCTTCTGCATATCACAGGTTGTTAAAGGGTCTTCCTCCAATTCTGATGCTGTGTTCTTCATATAGTCCAGCTTTTTGGATAATTTTCTCAACATACAGATTGAGTAAGTATGGTGAAAGGATACAACCCTGATGCACACCTTTCCTGATTTTAAACAAAGCAGTATCCCCTTGTTCTGTTTGAATGACTGCCTCTGTTCTACGTACAGGTTTCGCACGAGCACAATTAAGTGCTCTGGAATTCCCATTCTTCATAGTGTTTTCGGTAATTTTTTTATGATCCACATAGTCAAATGCCTTTGCATAGCAAACATAATTCTGGTATTCTTTGCTTTCAGTCAAGATCTATCTGACACCAGCAATGATATCCCTTGTTCACATCCTCTTCTGAATCCAGCATGCATTTCTGGTAGTTCCTTGTCAATATACTGCTGCAACTGTTTTTTGAATTATCTTCTGCAAAATTTTATTTGCATGTGAAATTAAGGATATCATTAGATAATTTCTGCACTCTGGTGGATCACCTTTCTTTTTAATGCACAAAAATACGGATCTCTTCCAGTCAGTTCACCAGGTAGCTGTCTTCAAAAAATTTCTTGATATAAACAAGTGTGCACCTCCAGCACTACATTTGTTTATTCAAACATCTCAAAGGATATTCTGTCAATTTCTGGACACTTATTTTTCACCAATTCCTTCAGTACAATCTGGACTTCTTCCTTCAAAATACCATCAGTTCTTGATCATATACTACCTTCTGAAATGACTGAACATCGACCAATTCTTCTTAGTACTGTGACTGTATTCTGTCCATCTTTTTTGATGGTTCCTGCATCATTCAGTATTTTGCCCACAGAATCTTTCACTATTGCAACTCAAGGCTTGAATTTTTCCTTCAGTTCTTTCAACCTGAGAAAAGCTGAGAATGTTCTTCCCTTCTGGTTTTACTCCAGATCTTTGCACATTTCATCATAATACTTTACTCTGTCTTCACAATCTGCCCTTTGAAATCTTCTGTTTGGCTCTTTTACTTCATTTCCTCCATTCACTTTAACTATTATATGTTCAAGAGCAGTTTCAGATTCTCTTATGACATTTATTTTGGTCTTTTCTTTCTTTCCTGTATTTTCAATGACCTTTTGCTTTCTTCAGGTATCATATCCTTGATGTCATCCCACAACTTGTCTGGTCTTCAATCATTAGTGGTCAATCATCTTTACTACATCTCAAAACACAAACTGATGAGATTTCAGATAATTTTTCTTTTTTTTTCCCCTAGTATCTGTTTTCCTCTTCTTCCATAGTAATATATACATATTTATATTTATATTTTAAATCACATGGCTGCCTCAATAAGTACATTTTCCACCCTCACTAACAGGTAGGTATGGCCACATTCTAAACTCAGACCAATGGAATACTGGCAGAAATGTCATGTGTAACTTCTACAATGTCTTTAAAGGGAAGAAGGGTAGTGTCTTTTTCTACCCCTTCCTCCCCCATGCTGGCCAGAATATGAATGTAATAGTTGGAGCTTTAGCAGCCATCTTGGACAATAAAGAAAAAACTCATCCACAAGAGAAAAGAAGCCAGAGGAGTCCCCAAAGATATAGAACAGCCATATGTCCTGGAATGCCTATTTTGATGTGAGAGAAAAATAAATTTCTATTTTGTTTAAAAGCCACCGTTATCTTGGGTTTTTCACTATTACAGTCAAGTTTATTCTAACTAATACAACATCTAAATAAGGAGCTTTCTTATCCAAGTAAAAATCCACTTCCATCTATACAGTCAATCAAGAATTCCCTCCCCTCAAAACAAGATTAAATTATTTATGTGTATGTGCTCTGATTGAGGTACTTCCAACCCAAAGATAGAGATAAAATTAAATCATAGAACGTCTCAGCCAAAACAAACTGAAACAACCTCCACAGCTGGCGAAGGACTTTAAGTAGCCTATTCCTACCCCCAAACAAACCTTTCTCTCATATCCAGGCCTAGTCTCTTGGATGAGAGTGGCAGCAAGGAGCCCCCCACCCCAGGAGTACAATGAAAGAATAAAACAACATTTTACTATAGTATACCATTAAATGTTCAACCCTACCATCTTCAATTAAGTCTCAAATACTTACTATGCTTTTAAAGCTGTCATGTAACTGATCTTCAGCAAAAATATAGAACTGGAGAGGTTTGACGCTGAAAATTATAGCTGACTTCAACATGGTTATAGTTTCTTCCAGTCTTTCACCACAGGCAACTACAGCTAGGTGTATTCTCTCAATGGGCTGCATTTTCAGACTATACCTAATAGGAAAAGAACCACATTTTCCAAGAGTTTTAGTATAGGATAATTCGTTTACAGTATGGTATTTGAACTTCAAAAATTGTAGTTCAAATCTTCTTATGTAAAAAGCAAAAAAAAAAAACAACAAAGCATAAAACATCACAATGGTAAATATATCATATATTTTTATACTCTCAACCAGCCTGTCATGATCAGTGTTCTTCATCTGAGCCAAGAAATACCAAAACTGACTATTATTCTCCCTAGGACAGGATTTGAAGATATTTTGTTCAATATTTTAAAAAATAAAAACAAAACTTCAAGCATATACACAAGTAGAAAGATTAATGCAATAAATCCCTATGTACTCATATCTCAGCTACAATAATCATCTATTCAGTGGCACTCATGTTTCATCTAAAACCTCTCCTTCCTTCTACCAATGACTGTGAAGCAAACTCAGATATAATTTATAAATATTTCAATGTTGCATGGAATCTTCAATCATGCTGATTACAAGAAAAACTTTCCTTCATGTGACTTTTTTCACTGACAAACTATGAAGTCCCATTTACCATGTACTGAGAAAAGGGTAAATATTTCTAAGATGGTCTAAAACATGCTACTCAAATACCAGCATGTTTTTTGGAAAGGAAAGATTTCCCAAAACGAAGTCATCTGTGGAAGCTTTGTTTGAACCTAGGTCTAATACAGAGCAGTGTATTAACATCAAGCCTAAGTAACTTTTAAAACCTTTTGCATTGTCTCTTAACACTGTGAACTTATAATAATCAACTAGCACATAAAGAGCAGAACTAATTATATCTGACTCTACCATTATTAAATAAAACAGTATATTATTTATAATATAAAATAAAGACCTCACCTGTAACTACAGTATAAAATGAACTTTTTGCAACTGACTCCTAAATGAATGTAAGACAACATAAAGCAAATTAATAATACATTAAAATAAGTATGAAGGAGTACAAATCCTTTGAATTAAAAAATATACAAAGATTTGTTTTTACAAAGTACAGGCATGTGAGTTAAACATTTACCTCAAGTAGACACACACCCTGGAGAGAACAATCATGGGAGAAGGAAGGGCTGCTTATGCAC